GAGGATCTGAAATAAACAATTATATAGTGACATGTTTGCTAAGAGAAAATTATAGACATTTTATTGTGTGCTATGATGAAACGTACGATTTTTTGTTCTGAATGCTTCTTGAGCGCACTTCCACGGCATTTGCAAGTTTTATATCAATCTATCGAGAAAAAAAGATAAGCAAATGTAACTTACAGCAAAATAACACAAGTAAACTTAAAGCACGCACTTCTTTAGCTATCAAATGTTTGGTGATATCATTGTTAAACGCATAATTCTTTGAGTCTGTGCCCGAAAATAACACAAGCTGATCTATTGGCCTAAATAAGAAAAATATTAAGTATACGAACATGAAAAATAGCATTCCAATGAGGATAAAATAGCACATCTTACGGTTCAATGGCATAAAATGATTTCCCATCTTCAGTTTTTTGAATATATTTTAAATTGAACGAAAGCATTATGTCAACCACTCGTAAAAGTATAGATTTTTTGAGATTCGAGGATAACCTGCTTTCCTGTTCAAAAGAATAAGGTCATACGTTTTACATTTATATGTCGATTTCAATAAATAATCCCAAATTCTTTACCGATTCTAATTCAGGGGACACAATTTTCAACAGATACGAAACAAATTCAGTTACAAATATGTTCTTATTTAAGGTCAATCGATATTTTGATTTTATTCCATTCAGTGCGGAGCTTATTACACTTTCGTTAGCTTGTTGTTGTACATAACACTAAAAGCAAAGAAAAATCCTTAATGCATCAGTGAATAAACTCTGCGAAAAGTATAATAAATCAAACCTCATAATCTTTTCTTGGATATTCCATACGTGGGTGAGCAACACCTGAGAAAAATCGATGAAAACTAATAATCGGATATGGATAATAGACAAATAACCCAAATAATTGCATTGAGTTTGTTCGATAATTTATTTGATCATAAAAATGGACCCATTCGTTTATTTGAGAAAGCTTAAATTTTTGATCGTGAAAATTACATTTTAGGTAATTTTCAAAACACCCTGCGAAATTATAATTTGGTTAGTTCACGAAATTTATCTCATAAGAACACTAATATGTAAAGAATAACACCTTGCATCAATTTCTCATATTCGCCATTAGTACTAATTAGAGATTCCAAACGAGCAATATACCGATTTGCATTGTTCTCTAATGGACCAAAATAAAAAAAGTCAAATGTTTTAGGTTATTTTAAACACCTGTGTTATGAAAAAAAAAAATTTACCGGAATCTCGCACAAATTGATCACGTGATCTGACTTTCGAGCTTCTTGTTTGAAATATCTCCTCCCATATTGTAAAGAACGATTTATTTGTGTCTTTTCGACCAATGCTTGTTTTCGATATTAATTCTTTTGTAACAACATTGGAACTTTGTTTGATGAACTAACACGATAAGAATATGAATATTTAAGTGATGGTAGAAATTAAGCATTGCTTTTTGACAAATAAGCACAAACCTGTAAGGTGGTTAAACAGTTTCTCATATCACCTTCTGCTGACTCCGCTAGCACAAATAAGGTTGATATATCAGCCGATAATTTCTCACGGTCACAAATCTCTTTTAATCTGTTTGCAAGCCTGTTTGACTGCATTCTTTTAAAATTTACTACTTTTGCATGAGCTTTAAGAGGACGCAGCGCTGCGGTATATCTAAATATTTTTGAGGCCAAGATATAAAAGTGGTTCATTTTGTATACAAAATTCCAATTATAATGGACTTACTGATCGTTGCAAATACATATAATAGGGCGAAGCAATGGTCTCTTGGCGGATTTTTTTTTCTTGCCTGAAAGGCCGTGGTTATTTAAACAATATATAACGACAATATCACAGAAAAATATCTTACTTGTTTTAGTTCCTTTGGATGTCAGTTGGTTCACATCTCGCGATGATTGTTTTTCTCCATCAACCAAATCCAAAAGTAATTTAACAAAATTCTATATATAATTGTTATGAGAAGGCAAGATTAATGAAATGTGAATTGAATATTAGAATAGTAATGTAGCTAAATAGTTTATAAACCTCATCACCACTACCGGAAACCCCATCAATCTCATCAATTATTATCAAGTTTGGTTTTTTATTGAAAACAACTGATTGAGTTTCCAAGGCATCCTTAATTCTGTTTTTGATAACCTGACCGGTTCGATCATCACTTTAAAAAACGACCCAATTTTAATTAATGAGTTGAACTAGATACAATTTGACGTTTACCATTTACCTCGCATTGATCTCTACAATATTATATCTACAATGCGTTGCTACTACGTGCGCTAAGGTTGTCTTTCCACATCCAGGAGGTCCAGTTAGCAGCAAAATCTGTTTAAAAATATTCGATTAAAATCTATTAATTTTGTTTGTGAATTCATCCATAAATTACCTTTTTTTCTGGTCGATCCCATCGATCATTAAACTAAAAAGAAATAAATTAACAATCCATTGAAACATATTTACACAAATATGTGACATGCATTCATTACCTGATTTTGTATATTGTCTTTACGGGCATTTCCTTTGCCAAAAACGCAATAATTCCATTACACTAACGTCAATCATAATAGGGTTAAAAAACAGAGCAAGTGAAAGCTAAAGCAAGTCTTTTAAAAAGAGAGCGATAGCTATAAATGAACTGCTTAGGAGTCTGATATATCAAATATCGACAAGCTATTATACAGCTCACCTCACAAAAAAAACCAAGTTTCTTGCAAAATAGCTTATCTCACGTACAAATAACCCTACTATAATAATCGATAAAACTAATTTATAATAATAATTGACATATCAACATTACCTTAACGCGATTTTTTTTTTTACCTCTGTTGAAATTCAATTTTTCACAAGATCTTTTATGGTATTTAAAAAAAGAACTGTTTGTTTTTAATAGACAACCTAAATTCATTAGGGATCCTCTACACTAAAAAGTCGCAACTAGTTACTAAACAAAGTATTTAAATTTTCATTTATTGTTTTACTAGAAGGCTGTTTAAAAAATAGTTATGGTTCTTTATATCACATCAAGATATTTATATATATGATGATTTACGCGTAAATACACGGACGCCCCACAAAAAATTGTTCACCCCTGTAATTTTGACCAGGATCAGGTGTAACGTAAGAAACTATTTTTTACAAAAAAAGATAACTCTAAATTTTAATTAGGAAACCACATGAAAAATGTTCCTCAT